CACTAAGCGACAGCCTTAAAGGGCTACGCCTATACTCATAGAATCTGGGGTTACAGTACGTAACCAACGTTTTAAGTGCTCTATAAAAAAAAATGGTTTGGTATGGTAAAAACTTGGGAGGCAGTCTTTTAAATTCACATGATTAAAGTCTCCAGCTACCAAGTAAAGAGCCTCAGGGTCTTTGTTCTGCAGAGAGCTGAGAAGATCGTGGAGCTCCCGCAGGGCGTCATTAGCATTAGCATTCGGTCGAATGTAAACAACTGTAATGAAAGTCACTGTGAACTCGCGGGGTAGATAATGTGGCTGGCACCATTAATTAATTTTTAATCTTCACTGATGCTACGACTTTCCCTTAAAAATTCAATGTTTTCACCGCCTAAATGTTCATGTATAACGTCTATTTATGTTGCTTTGTTGTGGTAGGTTTTTTTGATGCCTCAAATTGTGCCCTGTCTAAGACATGGTGTGAGATATCTTTTTTTATACCGTCTCTCCTCATGTTTTCTTTCCTTTTCTTATCTAAGCAAAATATTATTCTGAATAAGAATAAGAGGGCCGCGCTAACTATTTATAGCCACGGCTTCGTGCACTCCGCCCATCTTCGGACGACTGTACGTACATATTCGCGTTGTATCTCGGTGCAATGCCAATAAAGTTTATTCTGATTCTGATTCTTCTGAATGTAGAAAACTAAAAACAGGAATATGTCTGCATTGGTTCTTGCCAGGAGTCCAACAGATTCTTAAAGCCACTTAGAGAGGTCAAGGTCGAGAGCTTCAGATCTTTTTACAAGATATTCCAGGAAACAGGAGCGGAGTAGGAGAAGGTCCTTTTGTCTAGTTCAGTCCTAACTGAGGGAACACTGCAGGTAATGATGTCCTGAGAGCGCACTCCGTAACTGCACTCACACAGAGACAAGAAGGAGGAGATGTATGAAGGCAGAAGAGTGTAGTGGACTAGGCCCATGTCAAAAACTAAGTCTAAGGTCAAAACTCTTGACCTTTAGAACCTTGTGGGACAGTTCCTGTCCCACAAGGTTCTAAAGGTCAAGAGTTTTGACCT